GCCCCGTGGACTGGGGCGTTTCCGTCTCTGCGACGCGGGGTTCTCCCCTGGACTCTCCATCCTGAGGGTGGTTCCCACGCCTGGCGCCCCGTCACCCCCGGCTCAGCCCTCCCTTCGGGCGGGTGGCAGTCCTGGGCGCTCGGAGCTGTACAACGCGCTTTGTCGGTCCCCATCTCACCTCAAAGGGGGAGAGCAGAGGTGCTGGGGTGGGTGGAGGGGGACTGGTGTTGGCTGCGGGAGCCTCATTGGGGGCCTTGGAGGGGACCCCGCTGCTGAGGGGCGAGCTCTAACCTTGTGCAGTCACAACCCCCTACCACCCCTCCCGAGGAACCCCGAGGTCACCCACCTCAGGGGTGAAGGGCAGCTCAGCCCAGGGTCAGCCTGGCAGTAGGGGCCCTGGAGAGGGGGTGCGGGGAGGAGTTCTGTCCCCCCAGCTTCCCCCCCGCCATTAGCCTTTGTGACTTGGCTGGAGCGCTGCCTAATGCAGGCTCTCATTTGGGTGCGGGAGCCTGTGGGACCCCGAAGGGCCGCACAGAAACCTCCTGACAAGGGACTGTGCTGGGGGTGGGGGCGCGTTGGATGGAGGAGAGAGCTGGACCCCGGCCTCTGTGCCCCCGCCCGGGCCCCCTGCCTGCCCAGCTGGTGCTGGGGAGGGGTCTCTGCTTTGGGTGTGCCAGCCCAGGTTCCGGGGCTCCGTCCCTGACTCAGAGAGCTGAGCCTCATTTTCCCATCGTGACATGGGGATAGAGCAGGCCAAGAGGGCACGAGAGGAGGAGGTGCAGAGATGGGACTGCCATGTCCGCCAGGGGTCACCTTCATTTCAGGGAGGGAGGTGCCCAGGGTCCTGGGGAGCTGGGTCCCGATGGGTGGGCACAGGTTGGTGGGGGTCTCCCCAGGAGAGGGCGCCTGAGGGCCGGGGACAGGGCTGGGCCCAGGGCAGGCCTGGTGGAGCCGGCTGCTCCCGCTGCTGCAGGTGGACAGGACGGAGGTGGTCCGGAGCTGCCTGCACCCCACGTTCTCCAAGGTCTTCACACTCGACTACTACTTCGAGGAGGCGCAGAAGCTGCGGTTCGAGGTCTACGACAGCCACGGGCCCGGCAGCCTCAGCTGCCAGGAC